GTGTTTGATTAGGGTTGAAGCAAAACTCTGCAGGGCTGCGGCTCTCCAGGACCGACGTTCGCCACCCCTGCCCTAACCCAACCCTAAACCTACCCCTTACAGAAAACCTGTTTGCATTGTTAGAAAAACATAATTTCCTATTTTTAATTTTAAAAAAATTCTAGTTTTTTTCAAATTTCAAGTTTTACTTGGACCCCACAATGTAGCATAAACAAGTACACACACATATATATTAATAAACAACAGATTTTAAAACACGTGCAAGTTCATAGAACTGTATTTTGTGTCCACGTTGGTTTCATACATTTTTCAAAAAAGTTTACAGCATTTATTACAAAGAATCAAGGAATGTAAAATGATTTAATAACAACCTAATAATTTTCAAAAAGTTTCAAAAAACAAATTTTATATAAACTACTTTTTAAACAAGTTCCATGCATTTTTTTGTTTTCTTGAATTTTCTTTCTTGACCTGAACAAAACCTGCCTTTTCATTAAAAAAGGAAGAAAGAAAAGGAAGTCACCGTCATGGGGTTTTAAAGGAGTGCTCTCTTACATGACAACATAATGTCTTTTTTGTAAGTGGTTACAAAAACTCATTTTTAAAGAATAGCCTAAATTTAAAAAAAAATGTTATAAAGGGTTAAATGGTAAACTTCCCTCTTATAATGTTTTAATGTGTCAGTAAGGCTTATTGATGGTGACAACAATTGCTGGGAGACATAACGATGTAGACTATTCCAAACAGATCTTAGACAACTCGGGATCACCCATCTCTCGCTCTCTCTAAATAAACAAATCTCCTACACGTCACGTGACTCGTGTCATCGCCTGGATATCAATCAGGGTTTTGATGTGCACTGACCGCGGTCTTTCGTGAGGGCCCTGAATAGTTAATATCTCTTTGTTATCCACGTTGCTCTAATCCCCCGGTGGCTCGCGGGCTCACGGTTGCATGGGAGGAGGAGCGTCAGCTATTATTTTCGGCCGGCGCGACCATCTGCTGCGCGCAGGAAACCCAAAACCCCAGAGACGCCCCAGTATCCACACTGTAAACTAGCGAAGATGTTTTAATTAAGGCGAGGTAGGTTAACTCTGCTGCTTAATGAATTGCCTTCGTTGGCCTCCCCTTGTCGTCCAGAAGTGCTTGTTGTCTCGGCCTCCTCCAAAAACACAGTAGAACAAAACAGTCTTCTAATCCATGAGTAGCCTACCCCAGAACTGAGCATTTGAGGATCTTCCTTATTTAAGACACCTTATTTATATCATAGCATCAGCTCATTACTAGAGGTTCTCAGACCTAAACTTTTTAAATATTTATTATGTCCAAACTTTATAATATATAGGCTACAGTGGGGAAAGTTGCCAGTAAATTTCACAAATAATCACAAAGAAACGGCAGGTAACATTTAATTAAACGTGAAATGTTGAAGAAGAAACACAGATTTTTTTTCTTCTAAAAATCTTTCTTTTATTTAACTTCGAAAAATCTTCTTTTTTTAGTGTACCAAATCTCGCTCAGCCTCGCTGGGTTAAATGAAGGATATACGGAAGCATATTTTCAGTAAACTTTATATAAATATTGTACAAAAACATTTATTTTTCAATAATTTGTTCTCCAACAAAGTTTGCTCAGTACAAAAAGATGGTTCTCAGTGACGTTGTACGCAGATTAAAGGAGGCGTAAATTGTGCGACAGAATAATTAGATGAGCCTATCAATTAAATACATAGGGCCTACATACATTTTTGCTTAATTAGGCTATACTTGCAGAGGACTCTCATGGTAGTCACAGCGCTTCCTAGAGGTGATCCGAGTCATCCTCCCTAAACTTTAGATCGGCCTATACAGTAAATTATGATGATATCGTTGATAGACTTTATAGCAATGATACCATATGATAATACGGCAAACATTTATCCTGCTAAAACGTGGCATAAAAATACAATTATCAGCTGTGGGACTAAGTATCTTGCCCAAAACTTGTTGAAGCAAATTCTTTTCCGAAAGTCAAACTTGTTTTACATTAAGCTTTTTCTTGAACCACCCACTGGATGCATTTGGCCGTCGTGCTCCGATCTAACTGGTTAATTAAAAACAGCTCATGTTTGCTCAAGTTAATAAAAGGACTAAATTATTCACTTTGGGGACCTGAGTCCCAGAGCGCCTTAAATCATCCCGGGACAATATTGTAACTCTCTCTGCGCTCTGATGAAACACTGAGGGGTCCTGTCACTGGTCGGAACCCCCTCCTCACTTTCCATCTGTCCCTCTTTGTCCTCCCTATAAAGCGTGTGTATTTTAGCTCATTGTCTTTCACACATTTATTGACACCTTTTTTAATTTGGCTCTTCTGTCGGCCTTCTCAAGCCGCGGGGCGCCAATCTCTTCCGCTCCATTAGCTCATTGAAACAGGAGTCTGGTTAAACAAAAGAGATGCAATCTGATCCTGTGTCCTCTCTGTCTCTCCCTGTCTCTCTCGCACACCACGGGTTTTCGCGCCCTGTTTGTCAGAGAGACTGGCCTGTTCGTTTGCAAGCCAGCGGGGAGGGGGATCTTATTAGCATTAAAAGCCTACACCGTGAAATTCATTTATAATTGCTAGAGAGAGAGAGAGAGATAGCGAAAGCATATGCGTCCCGAATTACGTTTGAATAAGTTTGTGATATGTTAACATGGAATGGAATGAGACAAGACTGCAATTATGACGCCTTTGTGACTGTCAAATTCGATTCATAAGAGGCTCGTTCCACGGTGAGCGCCCGTAGAGAAGAAGGTGAGGTGAATCTTAATGTAGCTAAAGAGAAGGCTTAGAAATCTCCACTGGAGGAAACGACCGAACAACAATGTTATAAAGTCGATAAAATGGCCTGCCTTTATTGCCAGTGTTTCCTGATGCATGTTCAATCTGCGTGAAAAGACTTGACGCTTTAAACCGATCTTGTCTATCATTCATATCATAGTATATTAGAGAGACAGACACTGGTTGGTGGTGAAGATGAATCAGGTGTGCAACCACAACAAAAGTTTCTCCCCTCAACAAAAAGGGTTTGAGAAGTGCAAAATATGCAGTCCTGGACCAGAATTGAGAACTAATGCACTATATTAAGCAAAACACTTCCACATAAATCCTTATTAAGATGCAGGAAGTGTCTCTACACATTTCTGTCATTGGCTGTTGCAAAGCATACCTCAGGTTCAGATGATCTTTATTATTTGGAATTCAGAACCTGTCAATATGTCAGTTTCTCTTTAAAAGTCACTGTTTTTGAATTATCCTAAAAAAAAAATTAAAAAAAATTACAACCATTTAAAAGTACTCAATTTTATCTGGTAATGATCAAGTCATTTTCACAGACTTTGTATGTATTTTGACACCCACAGCCCAAATTAGCAGTTGAACAACCAATTCCATTCGGTTTTAAGAAATCTGCTGCCATCTACTGGTCACCTTCACAACCAAACAGCAGAGGCTTGAAACTAAAAGCGTTTTCTTAACTAAAGGGATAGTTCACCCAAAAATGACAATTCTGTCATTAATTACTCACCCTCATGTCGTTTCAAACCCGTAAGACCTTCGTTCATCTTCGGAACACAAATTAAGATATTTTTGATGGAATCTGAGAGCTGTCTGACCCTGCATAGACAGTAACGCAACTGAAATGTTCTCAAGTCCAGAAACGTAGCAAGGAGATCTGTAAAATAATCCATGTGACATCAGTGGTTCATCCGCAATTATACGAAGCTACGAGAATACTTTTTGTGCGCAAAAGAAAAAAAATAACGACTTTATTCAACAATTCGTCTCCTCCGCATCACCCTGGTGCCATTTTGGAGAATATCCGCTGGATGTAAATAGCGTATGCTGTTTTGTGTCAGCCGCACCACACGGATACGCTGTTTCTGTTCAGATCAAATCACAAGCTACAGGGTGACGCGGAGGAGACGAATTGTTGAATAAAGTCGTTATTTTTTTTCTTTTGCGCACAAAGTTTTTTCGTAGCTTCGTATAATTACGGTTGAACCCCTGATGTCACATGGATTATTTTACCGATCTCCTTGCTATCTGTCTGGACTTGAGAACATTTCAGTTGCGTTACTGTCTATGCAGGGTCAGACAGCTCTCAGATTCCATCAAAAATATCTTAATTTGTGTTCCGAAGATGAACGAAGGTCTTACGGGTTTGAAACGACATGAGGGTGAGTAATTAATTACAGAATTTTCTTTTTTGGGTGAACTATCCCTTTAATATCAATGTCAAATCAGAAGTCACTTTTTTCTTCTCTGGACTGGACCGAAATCAGTATAAACTGAACCATTTTTTACATAATACAAATATTTATAAAGATTAATATTTAATAACTTAATTCATATGTAATGGATTATTAAATGTATTGATTTATTATTAAGGGTTTTTAATATTCTTCAAATCGTAAAAATAGAATATTTAAAGATAGAGAGAACTACTTCTGTTTGACTGAAGAACTACTTCTGTTTGAGTGAAGCAGCATCTTAGACCATAACATGTATTTAGCAGTCTTATCTGTAAGTATATAGTGGTGAATATCTTAACTTCAGTGGCCTACGTAAACTGATAATATCCATTCAGTACCATGGACAGCGCCACTGTGTTGCTTTTGCACGATAACACTGCGGCCATTATATAAATCCAAGTAGCGTACAATTAGACTAATGTTAGGTTAAGAGCATTACATGCTGCCGTGTTGGTTACGAGATTTATAATGGAGATATGGCAAATGAGAAAAGGAGGATTTCATAAACTCAGCAGTAACAGTCTATTAGTATGCTATTGTTCTCCAAACTCACCGGTTAGTATACATCAGTTTAACAGTAACAACGTGAGACAACATGATTAATGTAACAGTACAATAATGTTCCTTTCCTAATGAAAAATTCAGGCGCAGGATGATGACGACTAGACTGACTAGGCAGTGGTCCGTCCAATGAGAGCAGTGAACGGTGATTTTGGAAATAGTTGTTGGTGTCCATATCAGTGATGAAATTTCTCTAGTAAAAATGTATTATATTATAATATAATATAATTGATCGTCAATACTACATCGAACACAAAGGCTTGTGATCGCCAAGGTGAACCATCGACCAATCCATATTGGAGATGCAAACCGACTGTCTCCTATTTGCGCTTTGCATTCTGAAAACGACAGTTCTCCATTGCCATGATAACTCAAGCGAATGCTTTATGGAGAGTATTCGACTATCGGCGTGAGAACGGCTGCGCGATTCACCAAGGGCCGCGGAGATAGAATGAAACGAACGCTTGCGAAGAGACTGGATGTTGGAGACTTCATCAGAACATGCCATACAAGACAGCATATCAACGATTCACCATTACATGACATGGATAAACATCCGTGGTATGTTTTATTTCTAGCTTTTTCTACAGATGCAGTGTCTATCAGTAGTTTCCCAAACCGGTTCCAGAAGACATTTTGTAAAACACACAGATAGCTATAGCTACCCGTTAGCGCCCCAGCAAGCATAACTACGCTCTAAAATGTATTAAGTCGTAAATATTTTGTGCTAAGGGTTTTATATATTCAATATTTCCACTACGCCGCAGTTGCGTCATGCGACGTTTTAAAAAAACCTCAACATCACATTTAATCTGGTATTAGTAAGTCGTTATAAAATGTTTTGCCACAGGCCTACATCTTTCAAAGTAAAGAGTTTACCAAATAAACAGGGGGAGAAGTATAGAATAATAGGTCACAAGTTTTAAAGTTATACTTACCAAAAAACATATTAGTAATACGAGCGGTTTTTTTTAAGACTTCGTAAGTTACCTGTATTGTGGGCTAACATCTAGCCTACTTTCATATGCGATTTAATTTGTAGAAGCGGTTGATAGTTTCTCGTGAGGTAAAAAAAAAAAAAAAAAAACCCACAAAAGTGGCTTTCTTCACTTAAACAATTTACGTATGTTACATTTTTGTTAGTTGGTACATTTTTGGTAGTTGGTGTTGGCACATTATCAAAAACGTAAAAAAATATATAAATAAAAAAAGCCCGACAAATGTAGTGTAAAGTGGTTGTTTATTTTTGTATTTTCACTATGTTTTTGAATCATTACAAAAACCAAGGTGCGTTTGGTCAAGTTTCGTTTTTAAAACACGTTATTGATGTTTTGTGTCACCTAAAAAAGAAAAATAGCATATTCTACAAAACATAACGGCAACCAAAACGTTATTTACTTCCCTTCGTCGTTATATTACTCCAGACCTGAAAAGGTTTTGTCAGTTGAAACTTGCAATATGTCTAGTGCAGGCCTCCAGGAGCATGAGGTAAACGCTGCGTGTGCTCACGTCCCTTTTAAGGACGGAAAGTAACACTTACTTCAATTGGCTTCACAGGTTCATAATTAATCAACCAAACGCGCACCTGTTCGGGAAGAATCGTGGAGTATTGCTGTCGGTCTGAGCAATGGCTGCTTCAAGAAGAATTCATTTCACCGCACTCTCAAGCAATGCACGCTTTCCTCTTCCCACCGTCCCCAATGCCAGTGACCAGCCTGTCAAACAGGGTTTACCTGCACCGGCGCCAGCGGTTGGATCGCCACCACCTCCGCATCCTGCAACAAGAGTGGAATTAAATCTCTTCGAGTCGGATGAACAACGCTGCCCGGAGTTTAGCTACCCGGATTTGATCCGCGCAAAAGTAAACAAGCATTGACACTGATGTATTTTCTGAATTTCACTTGTTATGGAAAGCAACATTTCAAAACTGTTTGCGAATATGCAAGAACAAAAAATACTGCAAAATATAAATGCTCTGAGTTTGTATTTAATCATTTTCAATCAAAACATGTTTTAATTTTGTGGGGAAATAGTCACAAGTTAAATACTTACTTGGAAAATTTCTTTTGATCCAGAAGTGTTAGCAGTGGTGTCAAAATAAGCATCTACCTTGTTGTTTACATTTAGAATTAAATAAAATTTTTAATATGTAGGCCTATATATCGTTATCTAACTGTGAATTCAGCAACTGATATGTGTATTTTACCAGTATTCAGTTAAATTGGTTTTTAATTGCTTTTTCAAGTTTTTAGTCAATTTGCCTGACAAGTCCTTGAGGATTAAACCAGTTCTGGTGGATTTAGGAAAATCAGTCTCGTTTTCTCATTTTAAGGAAACCGCTGAGAAAAAGAAACCACAAGCATTAGATGAAGTGGTGGAGGACAAGGAGAGAGATGAACTGGAGGCGCTTGCAAAAAAGTTTGACGCAAAATACGTGAGTATGAATTCTGCCAAGATTATATTTCTAGCTTCATCATGTTAGTGCTGTGGAGAGTGGAAACAAAGTACATTTCAAAGCTCACTGCACTTGTATATGCATATGGTGTGATTCAACAGGATTAAGCATATATGTAAAATGTAGTGATTTGTGTGTGCGTGTTTAAAGCTATACATTAATATCCACCATTTTCTTGTTTAGGGTGGAGCTGGCAAAAGAAAAAAAGACAGGTTACAGGATCTGGTGGATATGGGCTTTGGTTATGATGAATCTGATTCATTCATTGACAACTCTGAGGCTGTAAGTTCAGGCCAGATGATAACACCATCAAATTATTCCCTTTATAGAACACATGAATGCTTTGCTCAAGTCTTCTTTATCTCTGCATGCCGCAGTATGATGAGCTTGTCCCAGCTTGTCTCACCACCAGATACGGAGGCTTCTACATCAACTCTGGAACTCTGCAGTTCCGTCCAGCCTTCGATGAAGGAGAGGAGAACGAGAATGATTGTGAGGACAGCGGTTTTAAATCTAAGGTGTGTCCTTTCTTGCAAAAATGGCAGTGCCAGTTTGTTGTGTATAGTTTTTTTTTTTCAGCTGTATGCAAAAGAATGTTTAAGACATGAACGCGTTCATTTGTCACCATACATTATTATATCTTATTTGGTCTGATTCCTTTCTCAGAAACGAAAGCTTAAGCAAGGAAAAGACAAGAAGATTGGGAAGAAAAAGAAAGAGGAAGACATGCTTACTAGGAAGGAAGAGGAGGAAGCCAGAAAAAGGTTTTTGCTGCTGGATAGATTACAATGTTTACTACTCTTAAGAAAACTTAAATTTTTCACAACATCCTTTAGAAATAATCGTAGTTTTCATTGATTCTTTCTTAAATGCCCTCATTGTTTGCTTTCTCCTTCTTCTCAGCACCCCGCCAGACAAATCATCTGCAAAGAAGAAGAAAAACAAGAAGCCGCTAAGTATCGATAAGATGCTGAAGAAGTTCCACATGGAAAAGCTTCAGCAGCTGCAGATGTTCAACGCTAGAGAGAGAGATTGGCATGCTCTCAATGGCACCGTGCAAGCTGAGGTTCAAGAACCGCCCATATCAGCTGACCCTCTTCTCACACTCATTGGTTCTGCCAGTGCAGATGACCTCCTTCAGGCGGTCAAAGCAGCAGAGCAAGACTTTGACTTAGATAGACTCTTAGGGGAGCCGCAGAACGTCTGCTCTCCAAGCCTGGAAGATAACGGAGAGGCTCTGGTAGTGTCCGTCACTGAGAAACCCACTTCATTACTTCCCGATGGTCTGCCACCTACATTAGAGCAACACATTAAGGAACTTTCCCAGGTATTATCTGCTCTTGCAACTTTAGAGTAGTTTGCAGGAATATGCAATTTATTCTCATGCATTTCTTATTTTGTTCTTTAGGCTGTTAAGGAAATTGAAGGACAAAAGATGGAGATTTTGTCTTCAGAACTCAACAGTGTTCTACTAGAGTAAGTTATATTACATTTATTATATAACAGGTAACATTTTGCAAAGCATACTTTGTATTTTAAGCCAATGTACTATCTTGTATTGATTCTTTCTCTTTGTATGTTCAGTGTGGAGGTGAACTCTAACCAGCTTAGTGGGAAAGTGCGCTCGAAAAATAATGTGTTTTTCGAACAACCTAGTATGAGAGCCTGTTCTAGTACACCCCCAAAACAAAATCAAGACTTTGTAAAAAGAGCATAATAGGGACCCCTTTAAATGGTTGTGTGTGTGTGTGTGTAACTGAAATCCAGTTTAATGTCTCTGTAAGCTTAATGTGTTGGTTATGTGTGTTATCAGGATGAACAGCTGCGGGAGCTGCTGAAGAAGCTAGAGAATGCGGTTGCCAGGTCCATGCCAGAACAGATCACCCGTTTCCAGAATCACTGCCAAGCTCACTCTGAAGCCAGAGCTGCTAAGTAATCAGTCATTTTTAATGCGTAAAACCTCGAACACTGTATCACTGACTTTTTACTGACTTTTTAATTGGTTTGCAGTTTTCTATTAGAATGCAACTTCGGTTTGATTTGTATGTTCTTTTTGTGTTTTAAGACTCGAGGCTGAGAAAGAGAGGGGGATTGATGGCTCTGATGAAGAAGAAGAGGAGAGGAGTGGAAAACGAGTGTTTGGGCCTCGCAAGAGGTTCAGATGGAATGAAGAGATCAGGTCGGGTCTCTTGTGTGTGTGTGCGCATGATTATTAAAGCTCTCTTGATTGCTACTAGTAAATGCTGTACATTCTCATTACATAATTTTTTTATTTAATGAATACCAGAACTTGTAATAAAATGAAGTATTATTCAATTATGTAAGCACTTATCTGTATAAACAAATATCACTGTATGGACTTTTACAGGGAGTTGCTCTTTGAGATTGTCAATTTGAAGATGATTATTTATGATTCGGAGTCGCCCACATGCTCTAGTTTGGAAGAGTATCTGAAAGCATTTCTAGAGGCTGATGTTAAACCACTTTGGCCTAAAGGATGGATGCAATCCAGGTATACAAAGCAAATTATTAATACTCTGAAATTTTGGACATAAGTGAAATCTCTAGGGCTAAGTTAAGTTGTTCATCATTTATATTTATTTACAAGTGACAAGTAATTCACAATAAACATGTCTGTTGCTCTTAAACACTGAAAGCTGAGTTTTCAGCATCATTACTCCAGTCTTCAGTGTCACATGATCCTTCAGAAATCATTCTAATATGCTGATTTGCTGCTCAAGAATTCTTATTATTAATGTTAAAAACAGTTGTGCTGCCTAATATTTTTGTGGAAACCATCATACATTTTTTCAGGATTCTGTGAATAGAAAGTTCAAATGAACAGCATTTGTCTAATGTCTTTACTGTCACTTTTGATTAATTTAAAGCAGTAAAAACTGCATTAAAAATCAGATCTTTTGCTTATCAGATAAGCAAATAAAAAAATAAAAAACTCAACCATCAGTGTTCAGACCTTAATAGGCATGAAACCTTGCTTGGGGATAATCGTTATTAATAATTTTATAAGTTTCTGTCCTGTTCTTAATAGAATTCTGCTTATAGAAACCCGAAAAGCACATGGCCACATCACTGGTGTTGTGTAAGTATGATTCTACACTACTACACACTTCCTAGATACTGTATTTATCCAACCCTTCTGAGGAAAATTATTCATTATTTTTTCTAACTGTTATCAGAAAGACAAATTAACATGTGGAACCTTGTTAGTTTAATACTTTAAACTTAACCAAAGTTCATGTTAATAAATTGTCCTTTTTTCTTGATTTTATAGAGCAAGGAAGAAGCCAATAGGTACAACAAAACTAAAAAAGGTACATCAGAAAAAACTGCAAACCCCAGCCTTAGAGTACACTCTTGCATGTTGCATTCATTAGGAAAATATAGGTGGAAGTCTGATCCTAAACCTTGCTCTTTCAAATGTTGAATGCACAGGTCAGCGCCGCCCCAAAGGACAGTAAGAATAACCCAGAAATTCAGGGCTCACCAGCACTGAAACGCAAACGCCTGAGTGTACCTGTGAGCATGCAACCTGAAGCCACGCTGAGCACCACTGCCAAAACGCCATCAAACACACAAACATCTGCCACCTTCTCCACCCATCCATCTAATCAGAACCACAAGGAAGGTAACAAGATTGAGAACCATCATACCAGCACTCAGAGAAGTCCAGTGACCGCAGAGGGAGCTGGGTCAGTCCAGATGATGTGGACCAGGTCTGTTATGGATTCAGATTCAAAGCGGCTCCAGACTGGAGAGAGGGCGACTCCAAAACTGACGCTGGTGGCGCCGCCAGATGGTGCTGAGGGTGACTGTCCATCGGTGGTGCAGGGAGTGGCCAGGCTGCTCACTACAACCTCAGTGGGTGACACACCGGTTTCTATGGCAGCAGTAAGTCGTTAAAAAAAAAAGTGCAAAAAAAAGTCACACATTGGTTGCTTCCTAGATGTAGATCATATAATTTGTGGTATCATAAAAATCCTTCCTAAATCCTAAATATTTAATCTAAACATGTCCAATGTGGGATATTATCTTTTTTAGTTTTAATGCAACTTTGTAATAATAATTATAATTATATATATATATATATATATTAGTGCTG